TTCTCATTTCTGTTGCATGGAATGGCAGGTGTAACTTTTGGGTGTGTGTTACTGTGTACATGGCACATAGTTTGTGATAGAATTACAGGAAATTACGGGTAGGAAAAATGCAAAATTATATTGTCATGTGTAGGAAGTAGTTTTAAAACCAATGCAGATTAATCCTTTCATCCGATTTTCTGCAAGGCAAGTAAAAGCACTGCCTATTCCCCTTCTCTCCAGAGTAGTATTAAGTTACCATTTCCAGTCTTGCACAGGTGGGAGAGAGATTTAAAACCATTTCATGTGTGATATAAAGAAGTTGTTACAAGCTTAAGTGTAAAACTTACGGTTACCCACAGCTTTGACAAAGTGCAGTTGTTGGAGGAAATTCAATACTCACAGAAGGGAATAGGAAATGTATGTCTCCTTAATGGATTTTTAGGTAGAACAAATTACTTCTCAAAGATGATCGGGGATTCTGAACTTTAAAATGAACGTCGGTGCTCAGAACTACTCTTTGCTGAGCAGCTTTGGCTATAAAAGGAATGAGGTGTCAGACGAATAATAAAGCAGTTTCCATCCCATGGATCTTCTCTTTTGTGTGAGCTTAGAACAAATGCATGTGTTATCCTTGGGAATGCTTCACCTCTGTGGTATGGCTGAGGTTTATCGCGTTCATCATTTCCAAAGCCGTTGTTGTTGCCCATCCTGTGTCAGTGCTCAGACACCTCCATGTCTCAAGGTCTGCTTGCATCACTACCCACCATGCCAGCATTATACCCCCACCAAAATGGTGTTGTCATTACCAGGTCTGTGTTAAGCTTTTGTAAGACCTTAGATAAAGAACTCTATAATTTTTTGTAATTAAGGCCAATTTTAATTCCAGGCGCAGTTAAGTGTGCTGTGGGTGAAGATAAATAAATGAGTTTAAAAACGATGGCGTAAATCCTATTCTCGGTGTTATTAGCTGCAGTTATGTGTCAGTGCAACACAAAAGCTTTTCCTTTGTTATTCTGCACTAATGGTAACATGCTGTAAGGAAAACAGAAACATCTGCGTATTAAATAAGGGTAGAACTTGTATACTGAATAGCTATAGTAGTATTTTGGGGCTTCTTTCAAAATACTTCCTTTCTCCCCCCCTTTTAAAATGTACTTTAAGTATACCTGCTTATTTCCCACAGAAAATGAAGCCTTTTTCTTGTTCTCCCCATTTATTCATTCGCTCTGAGTTTTGAAGCATGGTAAATACTGCTTTACAAATCAACTCTAGAGGAAAGGACATGAGAATGGCAGGACTCCTGTGGGAAGCAAGGAAGCTGAGGAGCTATTTTTCTCCCTTTACATAAGTGAAAATGTCAGTTTTACCCTTTCTGACTCGATGTAGGGAACACCTGATGATGTCAAATGTTGGCTATAACTCTTTCAGCCCTTACCATACATACCTTTCTGCCTATGTATTTCCAGCTCTCATGTCCTGAAGTGGTATTTAATAAGCTTTATGTAAGCATTTGCAATTATCTAATAGCACCTGAAAATTGCTTACTAAATGACAGGAGGAAGTTTCATTTGCATTCCATATCTGATGTTAAATCTGCTAATCCTCCATAGGCTCTGCCAGGAAAAACAATGTAGACAGACCTGAATTTTATTAAAATCAGAAATTGAGCACAATGCTTCCTACTCTTCCTTTACACACTGTGAAATAAATCTCCTGAAATATATCTGTCGATTCAGCCATAAGCCTCATAGATTTTCTTGAAACATGCCTTAGTTATCAGTTCCTTACAGAGCACTCATTCACAGCCCTTCCCTCTTGGGCCAACTTCCCTTGCCCTGTGACTGCTATCTCCAGCTTTTCTCCTGTTTATATAAGTTAATCTTCCACAGAGTGACAGGTTGATTGTGTGTTTTTTTTTTCCTTCCATTAATGAGAATTCCTAATTGTGCCTAATGAAGTGTTTGCTCATACTGCTAGAATATTATTATATGAGAGCACAGTCGAGATAAGAGACTCTGAAGAAAATAAGCATCTTTAAAGATTCTGGATGAGATAACAAAGCTGGTTTTTTTGCCAATATTTTCCTATTTTATTTGAAAATGGCTTCTGGTGCAGCTGTGTAACCAGGACTATTTCAAACAACATCCATTATTTATTGGCCTGGTTAGCAAACAAGGACACCTTTGAGCAAATGGTGAGGTGAATTTACGGTGCTTTACACCAGCTGAAGACAAGCTTTTTTGCTGGTCTTTTTCTCTAAAATTTTCCATTTGGTGTGAGCAGCACTGGGGAGAGCAACGGGAACTTGGGGAGGTGTGGACACAAGTGGAATTGTGCCTTTGATTTGCTCCCCAGGTGTATCAGATCAGGTTGCAGACCAGGCTGCCCATAAAGGCAGTTTCCTCCTCACTCCAGTAGGAACTGCAGAAAATACAGTTGAAGAGAGAAATTTTACAACTGTTGTGTGCTGAAATGATTGAGCACCCTGTCTTTCTGCAGAGTGAGTCTGAGAGAATGAAATGCTGTCTAGCTGCCTGGAATACACTGAAACTTCCAACTCGATTAAAAGTGGCTTGCCAATTTATAAGTGACTTGCTTGCAACATTCAAAAAACACCAGTACAGCTTGTATTGCAAGGGAGCTAAGGGAGGGCAATGGCGTTATGCTCATGGCAGCCTGTAGGCATTAAGGGCCTTAAACTGCCCTTTAAGTAACTACCATCCCTGTGGGGTGAAGACAAGGTTTCTAAGGGTGGCTGTTGTCATGGGAAGAATGACTGTATGGAAAATACGCTTATCATAGAATCACCAAGGTTGGAAAAGTCCTCCACGATCACCCAGTCCAACGTTCCACTACCACCAGTATTTCTTCACTGCACCACATCCCTCAGTGCAACATCCAAACGGTTCTTGAACACAACTGCTGTATGTGACGCAGCTTGCTTTTGTTACCTGTGACATACTGTGATTACACTGACTTTTAATGCTTCAACTCATCTAAAATAATAGTCGTGGTATTAATGGCAGGGCTTGGTGCATGATGATGACTCTTTCTCTCGGTTAGAGTGTTGGAACTTGATAAAAAATATCTGAAAGCACAAGTGTAGGGTTGGGTAATGTGGACGAGTAGTGTCATCAAAAAGAGAAGTTGTCTGGGGAGCTTGGAATTCTCTGGGGCAAAAAGTTGTTTTGTGGGAGAAAAGCATCAAGTCAGGATGCACAGGTTTGTGTTTCAGCAAATACAAAAGGGCAGTAAAGGCCAGGTGTACATCTAAAATATGTGGTAGTGAGATAAGATCATTATGAACTGCTTTCAGTGCTACGTGTTATCACTGTGCAAACGTATGCTTAACTGTAGAGAACTGTAGCTATGCTATAGGTTTATTTTGGGTTTTACAGTGTTTTTAGGGACTGGACCAACATCTTCACGTTCCTGATTCAGTAAGAAACGAGCTGTGGGGGACCTGCTTACTTCATAGTTTGCTAATAGTCTCTAATCTAGACTCTGATCATTGCCTTTGCTATTTTAGATTGCCTCGTTGTTGCTTAATGCTTCTATTTTGGTCATAGCATGTGTTAACAGATTTGATAGGTATCTCCAGAGTGTGAAATGTGTGTTCAGCTGGTATAGGCTGGGCCCACCCAGGTAATTGCCTGCAAAGTGTTGTTCCCTTACAAAAAAAAAGTATACTAGTCCTCATGGAAGAGCCGTGCAGTCCTATTGCTTCTCCAGTTAGTCTTTTGTTTCTCTTTTATAACGTTGTATTAACAAGGGAGGGAAGCATCTGTACATCTGTGTTAGGACAGCACTTAAAGGGCAGAGAAATGTGATGTAGTGCATAGGATCATTAAGACCTGTAGGATCAGCAGGTCCAAGCCCAGTTTGGGCACCAGCCTGGACCCCCGTCGCTCTCAGTTCAGTGATTTTCCTTTGTAGTGGTGTTAGATTTGGGAAAATAAAAATTGCACATGATTGCTATCTCCACAATAACCCATCTTTCTCACCCGTTTTAGAGAGACGCTCTTTGGACTGTTCTGATTCGCATGCAGTACAAATGGGTGGCAATCTTTATGTCAGGGCTGCAGGAATTTCTGAATGAATTCAGCTGGCATCTCAGAGCAATGTATCTGGCTTAGCAGGAGCCTCCACTCGATCTTGTTTCTCCTGCTGGGAGTTTGCATGGGCTGAGTGCCATTTAATGTGATTCTACTTCTTAATATTGAAACTAGGTCCTGTATCACTACTTTTTGCCACATGTGTGCATGTGTACATCTATATCAAACTGACCCCAAAATTAACGGATTAGTTCTTCTCTACTTTGCCAAAAGGCACAGAGAGCCCCACGGAAATGCACAATCCACACCCAAAATGTCTGTCTCATTTCTCTGAACGTTCTACTTTGCAGTTCTCCAAAACACGTGTCACCACCAAACATCTTCCTTGACATTTCCTTGGAGTGCACTTGAAATAAATCGAATTTGCACTCATGATGGATAATGGATAAAGCAACTGATAATGTTGAAAACTTATGATTCAGGTGGTGTCCCTTACCTGAAGTCAGTAGAGATATGCTGATCTGTGTCGATAAAGGAACTGGATGGGTTAAATTTTGGATTCTAGGCTGTTGGTGTTAAAGCCAACACTTGTCTGCGTTGTGCTTTCTTTAATGGCACTGTAATCCTGTCTCACTCAAGTAGAATGCACAGGATCTCTGTTTTGGTGTTGATTATTCAGGAATTACAAGGCATCTGTAAGACTGACTTTGCTTAGGAGGACAGATAGATTAAACAAGCAGTAATTTGTGGAAATTTAAGTACTCCGTGCAGGATCTTGGCCAGCAGAAGGCAGTAACTGCTCAGCTTTGAGTTGCTCATTGTTAATGAAATACGCTTGCTTGCATTAGCCGTCTTCACACTATAGATCTACGGACTGAACTTCCAAGGTTTCAGAATTAATGTGTTGTTCATGTGCTGTTGCTTATGATTCCCTGCAAACAATGTTTTCCCATTCTTTCCCAGGCCTCAGACTTATACTTCTCACGTACCACATTCAGCATGCTGCTGTTCTGTCACTCGCTGCTTGGAGCCTTTCTTCCACTCTTCCTCCTTTCAGGGAATTGGGTTTCAGCAAAGAACATCAACTTTTACAATGTGAGACCTCCACTGGACCGTAAGTAGACAGTTATGCTTTCCTTGCAGATGCAGTGTTAACAACATTTAGTCCATTTCCATATGCTTTCAGTAATTTGCTTCTTAGTTCTTTATTTTGGATTTTACAGTTTATTCCTCTTTAAACATGAAGAATTAGATTTTTAAAGTAAAACTTTTGCTTTTCAACACGGAGCAGTGTATTCCTAAGGTTTATCTTGCCTGAAAGTAAACAAACTGTTGAATGCAGCACTAAAGTAAAGGTTCACCACAGCAACAGTTTTCACATTTTAAGTGTTTTTGTGATATTTTCCTGCCTCCGAAGCATCTCCCTTCTGACAACATTATGCAGTGGATTTCTTGTAAATACAGAACAGGTGTCTTTTGTCTTTAATCTTGTTGGGGTTTTTGTAAGTGGAAGAATAGGTGTGCAGCATGCAATTAATTCAAGCTGAAGGTAATTAAAAACGTTGTGAGACCTGTGGATCCAGTTGTCACTAATAGCATCATACTTTCGCCTCTTATCTGACATCAGAAGTATTCTGTCCCTTCACTTAAGAGAAGATTTTCCTGATATTAAAACCTGATACATTATAGGTGCATCTAGGAACTGTGCTTCTGAAACTCGTTTATATATATGTATGTAATGTAAATAAGCTTTTCAAATAATCCTCTTGATCCCTTTGTTGAAGGGAACAGATTCTCCAAAGTTGGAGATCAAGACCAGAAGCAGGTTTTGGAGGTGCAGTTTTTTGCATCAAAGGAATGTAGATTGTTTGTGTATCTGCACCAACGTACAGTTGGGTGTATTATAATGTACACATATATACATGTAAATATATATAAGATGTTCTCTCTTTACTGCTTTTCCCACTGATGCTTAAAAGCTGTTCTGGATTGTGAGAGAGTGAAAAGAGGAGGAAGTGTTTTAAAGATCAGGCATAGCAAAAGCAGTTAAAAGCTTTCAATGAAACTTGTGTCATAAGATGCATTTATCTAACAGTGAAGTATCACTGAGAAAATGCACGTCTATGTAACATGTTTGTGTGTGTGCAAGCACTTAAAATATTACTGTGAGCATTTGATTTATGGTTTTCTTTTGTTTTGTTTTGTTGGTTTTTTTTTTTTGTAAACTTACTGTATTTTAATACTTTCAAAGCCACTCCATTTCCAAACAGTTTTAAGTGCTTTACCTGTGATAATGCAGTGGACAATTACAACTGTAACAGATGGGCTGAAGATCGGTGGTGTCCTGAAAGTAAGTGTTTCTGCACTAAGGGCTTTTTTCCTACACAGTTCAACTTGTTTCTCCCTGACTCAGCCATCTTGTTGAAGTCTAACTGAATAGGATTAACATACCAACACAGTGATGCCCTCAATTATGTTATTAGTGAGTCTGAGTCATGTGATTTTTTGCTGAGTTTAATATTCTGACCATTTCAGAGTGCAAAGCAACAATGCAAAGATTAATATGTATATATAGGAATAGATATGCATGTGTGTACTTCCTAGGAATTAGTTTTAAGGATGTTATCAAAAAACTTGAGAATTGCTTTCTTGGCCTTATCTCCTTCCCTTTGGATAAATCCCAAGGTATGGTGGGCTCACTTGTGACAGTCAAGACCTGAATGACTGGGCAACATACTTGTATGAGAGTGATAGATAGGTAGAAAAGAATGGAAATATGTTTCCTCATTTTTCTTCACAGTGGTGGTCACGGTGGGAAAGGGAAAGAAATGAACCAGAGGAATGAGGGAAATGTCTGAAACAAAGAAGAAAACAATGTGCTGCAGAAAAAAAAAGAGTAGAAAATGGAAGATAAATGTGTAGTCTGTAGTACAAATATGTAGTTTAAAAGGTAGCAGCTTTTCTGGAGGTTTGAAGGATCAGTGAAGCTTAAGATTTCATTGCTAATTTATTTCTTGTTAAGTGGTATTTTGAGTGAGTTGAAAAAAGGCTTTATACATTTTGCTAAATTGTGTGAAGTTTTTGAACCCTGTAGAGGAGTGCATTCTATCTGAAAATCAACATTTAAAAATGTGTTTTGTAGGTACACAGTACTGCCTGACAGTTCATCTCTTCACAGACCATGGGAAGAGCACATCGGTCACCAAAAAATGTGCTACTGGGGATGAGTGCCATTTTGTAGGCTGCCATCACCACAGGGAAAGCGGTCACACAGTAAGCACTGCTTAGATAGGAGCAGCATGTTGGCTTTAAGGGTTCCATTTGAGCAGCTGTTTTTCCTGCAGAGCTGAAGAGCACATGCCAGCACATATTCTTCAGTACTGCGCAGTAGAAATCCAGTTTCTCCAACAGAAGCATGATTACCCCTTTCCTCCTACTTGCTTATTTGTGTGACTGTGTCATGGGGTGTAATAAGCAGTTCTAAAGAAGCACCTGAGCTTTCTGGGGCATTGCTGGCATGCATCCTATACATGGACCTTGGTTTCTGAGTTCTGAGTAAGGCAGCCTGCATCAATGCTTGTGGTGCTGCAGCTGTGATGCCACCAGCACTTGAGCAAACCACTGTGGGACTCAGGTGCTGCAGACATGAGTCTGAGTGACACACCTTGTGTGCCAAAAAAAGAGCTCATGCACTAAAAGGAAAATATACGGTGCAAAGAGCTGTGCCAAATAAACTGTGAAAGACAGAAGCCAAACACCATTTATTAGAGAGGAATAATTCCCAAATGGGAGCTGGTGAAGTTCTGTAAAGAAAACTAATTTGTTATGTTAGATTGATGGCAGAAATCTAGAAGAGGTAAAAAGTGATTAGCATAAAACCTGCTGAAAGTTTGAAAGTTCCTGTTTGCAGACTCGTGAAGCCAGCCCTGAAAAGCAAGGCACTGTCCCTAGCTGCCACCATCCCAGTGCTGTCACTGATTAAGGGCTGCAACCTGAGTGCCTTATGTTTTTATAAGGGCAGTTCCAGTCTCTACTCTTGCAGTTACCATTGCATTCCATATTTCACACCATTAAATTCCTGCAGTTTGACTGGTTCCCTTCTTGCCTTGAGAGACTTTCAGTGACACTGGCGTGTTTTGCAAAAAATTCTGTTTGATAACTTGATATATTTGGATGATCTTCCTCTTAAAATTCTTCACAACTCTGGGAATAGATGTAAGCTCATTTTTCTACCCTGTGTCATTTAAGATTGTTTTTTTTAATGAATATGAGCTGCTGAACTATTTTGGGGATTGAAGTCAGTCTAACCTCCCATGTTTTTGCAAAAGAACTGTTTATCATAGCACAGTTATTGGATTGGGTGGTGAGTTACCCTGGGGAAGCTGTGGTGCATGGTTTGGAGGAGAAGCTGCAACATGAGTGCTGCATCTGCTGCCTTGGGTGCTGGGTAAAGTGCTTAGTTTACTGTCCTTTGCAGTCATCTTGCAGATCGTGCATCTCTAGAAGCCGCTGCTGAATTACCCTGTGTCCAGTGATCTCCTTTTCCTCCACAGGAATGTGTTTCTTGCTGTGAAGGCATGATTTGCAACGTGGAGATCCCAACCAATCACACAAACGCAGTGTTTGCCGTGCTGCACGCGCGGAGGACGTCGGACGGCAGCCGGCGGACGGTCAGCACTGCAGTGCTCGTGGCAGTCGTGGCAGTCGCACTGTCGTGATGCAGCATCCTCCCATTGCACCACTTGCCTTTGTGGGCCCTTGGATATTGTAAGGAGCTCAGCACGTTCAAGGAGAAGCCACCAAGACTTCTCGATGACCTAAAATGTGAGAGGACGGTGGGAAGATGTACACGCATCATGCAGTCCTTGGGTTCTAATGAAGATATTTCAAATGGTCCGCAGTATTTAAAGAAGAGGAACAAAACATGCACACAAAAAAAGCATAACAGGAAACCCAATGGTGACTGGGCAGTGAGGCAGAATCAAGTTGTTACGACTCCCTCTTGTATGATGAAAATGCACGTGTGGTTTGTGTGTTTTTGAACAAAGTAAAGGGGATTCTGTAGACAATCAGGTGAGATAAAGGGGAGCTCTCAGTGGACCATGTGCCAATTTGTGTTTTAATGGAAAGTGTTTCTAAGCTGTTTATCACTATGCATGAATAACACGGGCTGTAAGCTGTATGTAAGCTTATTGTTAGTTACGGTTTTTCATAGTTATGGTTTTCATATGAAAGGAGTTTTTCTGTTCTGATCAGAGCTGTCATTCCTATGAGAAATAAAATAATACTTTATGCCTCTCTTTCCTATAAGATGTCTTGCACTGGAATTATAAAGCAATATGAAATTAGGTAGAGTTTCTATCCGAAAAGGATGAGCTGGTTGAGCACCTAACTCAGAGTTCATTAATGTCCTCAGTGGCAGTATTTTCTTACAGTAAGGTCCCACCTCAAGTGCTCACCTCAGCTTCTGAGTCCTTCTCTTTGTTATATTGGCATGGCAGTAACACCACAGATTTCAAATTGTGGCTGCAATTGAGCAGTTACTTTACCATAAAAATGGCAAGCGAGCCTTTGTATAAATAAGGAGAGAACTCTACCATGTGTTCTCTTTGGTCTACAGAAGATTTTCCCAGAAATGCTACTCTCCTTGATGGATCAGAAGTCAGCAACTGGATATCCCATGCCTCTGGACATAGCTTTATCTAGCACTTGAAAAGTTTGGGCCATACTCTGTTCCTTTTTTTACAGTATTACAGTGATTAATGTCGTTTATATGCCCAGCTTTGACTATTTGAATCCCTGTCATACAGATGACAGTTCATTAATTAGATGAAGAGCTGCAGACATCTCAGTACAGTGAGATGTACTGGAACCTTTGTTTCCTTCTCTGAAGCCTGATGCAGACCAGCACTCCCAGGCTGCTCCAGTGAGCTCCCACCCCTTCCAGCTGCACAGATTGTCCTGAGTATGGTCCACAATAAGTCAGATGTACAGTTACTTCATTAACGCTCTAGCTTATTTATGTTCTTTGCACTGCAAACTCACTGATGGTACAGGCCAGCAGGTAGTGATTTCGGATTGTTATCAGGATAGTTTTATATGATCATGAATCTAACATTTCAGCTGCTCCTCTTTGCCAAATTGAGCTTCTTCAAACTCTCCCTTCTCCAGCAACCCAATATTTCAGCACAGCTAAGGATTTCAGTGGAACAGGTTGCCCAAGGAGGCTGTGGATGCCCCATCCCTGCAGGCATTCAAGGCCAGGCTGGATGTGGCTCTGGGCAGCCTGGGCTGCTGGTTGGTGACCTGCACACAGCAGGGGGTTGGAACTGGGTGAGCACTGTGGGCCTTTGCAACCCAGGCCATTCTGTGATTCATGATTTGACCCTACAAGGTTGGAGAATTGCATTTCTTTTCTTTCTGTAAATAAAATTGTGATGCACTTATGAGTGTGTCTCTGTGATTGTTCTGTGATCTTTTCCAGTGGCTCAGCCAAAATGAGAGGGGTTGAAAATGACAATAAATTGTTGCAGTGTCTTTCAGAGATGAGGTTTCTGAAAAGTTTTACTTTGCCAAGAGATTCAGAAGTGATCTCTAAAATGTTAAAATAACCCTAGAAATGGGGGATTTTAAACAATGACGTCTCAAGTCACTGGGCCATCCAACATGCCAAGCTGCCAGGGATGATTTTGGACACGTTTCCTTTGTTCAAAGCTCATCCCTGGGTAATGACACACCTACAGCACTAATCTTGGGCTCAGACATAGCTACAGTCATAGTTAGAATTGATCTTTAGTGATGAAAACCAACATGCTTTTTGCTACATGACCCACAGGGTTCATGAACTTTTCTCCCATGGAAAAATCATCCCAGATTTGCTCTGTGCTCCTGAGGGAGTTCCTCAGTCGAGCATGATGGTTGGGACCATGGATCTTTCTGTGGTGTTTTCTTTGAGCACCAGGTACTTCCATAACGTGGCTTCTGTGAACAATTATGGCAATCATCATGAGGAATTAAAGTGGCTCAGTAGCCTTATATGAGTTTACTGTAAATACTTGCTCTGCAAATGTCATTTTTGAGCATTCAGGAGTGCCAGGAAGCCCCTGGAAAGCAGCCCAGAGGGGGGCTCTGGCACAGAGAAATGACTTTCAGGTTCTCTGCAGCTGCCAAAAGGGGATGTGTGTGCATCTCTGCTCATATTTTTTCTTGGTTGAATTGATTTTTTTATTCTCTTTGTCACACTGAAAATATAAGAATTCTGCACATAATGTATGCATTTGCTGAAGAATTGTCTATGAAAAAGAATAAAGAGTTCCACCGAAGTGCCAAAGTACTATGCTTGATTTTAACTGCCTTCTTTTTAACTCTTATAGAGACAGCAACCTGGGCTAATGAAGGGGTTCTGTGTTGCTGAAGGTGCATTTTTTAATGTAGCAGAGTTCCAGTATCAGAATTGATTCTCAGTTTTGGTTCATACGCATGTGATGTGGTAATGCCTCAGTTAGCTTTGGAAGTGCCATTTGGGTAAGTGCTTACCTGTAACTACATGCAGAACAGAGATGTTTGCTGATGCTTCTGTGTTCATCCAGGTAGTGTACAGCAGCCTGCTGCATTCTCACTCACAGGACGGAGTAAGAATCCCATTTCTGTCCATGAATACGTCATACAAACCATCTGATGCAGTAAGGAGGAAAGATGAGGTTGTTTGGTGACACATGCGTATCGTTTTATTTGTTCTACTTTGCATGGGATGATCTGTGGAAGACCCCCCAGGCACGTAGCAGGGAGGAAGCAGCATTTCATTCCTACTTCTGAAAAGTACTGAATAATATTTTGCTATGACTTAATCAGAAAAGTGTCAAAGGTGAAACATCCTGCTCGAGTGGCTTTAGCAGAAAACCTGAAGTCTTGATGCAGGTTGTAGGCATCCAGTCCAGTCACTTAAACAGGATCAAGTGCTGATTTCAGGTGTACAGAGCAAGAAAACTACAAAAACTCTACTTATTTCAGAAGGCAAAGGTCTGCAGAGCCTCTTTCTGCGTTCTGAGCCTGCAACCAGGCTCCTTCCAGCCTCAGGACACAGAGGTTCTGCAGACCTTTGCAGTGCAGGGCATTACAGGCTGTGCTGCTTGCAGGTGTCTCCAATTAAGAAAATGAGCCTCCATTCCTGTGCACCTGGTGGCCCTCTCCTGTGTTGGAGCACAGCAGTGTGCTTGAGGTCTTTGTGTCTCCTCCATTTTCAGTGAAGCCCAGATGTCAGCCTGCTGTGCTGCTCAGAGCAGAAGGTAGGGAGGTGCTGCTTGGTGTGGGTATCATGGTTCATTATTTTTGCTTAAATTTTGTTTTGATTTGGCAAGGTTGCTTCTAATGCTGTTGTCGGCACCATAGTAAGAAGCTGTGGTTATTAAAATAGGGAAAATTGAAGGTGGAGTTTGAATGATGGAAAGGGTTTGTGCAAAAAGGTGAGGGCTTGAAAGATCACAGCTCGTTTGTGTTAATTTGGCCAAGTTGTAGCACTTTTAGGTTATTTTATCCGTGGTGTTTGCAGGGTGCTGCTCTGGAAGGTGACTAATCTCAAGTGGGGTGCAGCCCCAGACTTGCTGCAAGCTGTAGCTCCTCTGTCAGGCAGCTACTCGTTGAGCTTTGGTTGCAATATGAGGGATTCCTTAAAAATGTGGTGCCCACATTGTATATTAAGGATGAAAACCACTGACCCTGAAGTGCTTTGGTGCAGTTGGTGAATAGTCTGCAAAAAGTCTGTAAGTGCAGCACTGGAGGAGGATAAGAAGCAAAGTCCCACTCGTGGGCACAGCCAGGTGTTTTCAGATGAATCAGATCTGTTGGTCTGACTTGCCTGCAGACAGCTGGTAAGCATGTTTCAGTACATTCTTTATAGCAAAGTATTTCTTGGTACCTTTTTTAAACATATGCAGTTCTTTAGGTGGATTTATTTTGCTTTTTGTGGGAGCAATCATGACTGGGGACTGACATCTGTGCTCATCGTAGTGTGCTGTGGGGGAAGGACACTGTGCATGGATTTGCTGGAGTGAGTGAACTATGGACAGGCATTGGGAAAGTGATCTTGGAACAGCCCAGGATGCTTCCTTTGTGAATTGTGCCACAAACCACCTTGCAGTGCAGTTGGGATGTTTTTCCAAGCACTCAGCTCTTCCTTCTGTCTGGCTAAATGTGATGCACGTAACATCATTGCACACATCTGAGCAGTTATCTCACACTTGACAGCTATCTTATTTCCTTAAGGGGCAAAACAGATACTTATGTATAGAGATACTTTATATTTTACTTTCTTTTTTCTTTTGATGGGTGCAGATGGAACCACCAGGAAATCAATCACCAAATGCATTCTTCTTTGAGGGACTGGTATTTCCAGTTCGATATGCAGCTTTTTTCTTTCTGTTTGACTGTGGATAAAGAGAAAATATTGCCAAAGAGCCGTCCCATAGATAAATTCAGGAGATGTGGTCGGTAAATACTTGATTTTTCATGGCCTGTGAGGAACTTAAATACTCCTGCATGTGTATTTAGTGTGAATGAATGAGCTGTCCATTGAACAGATGCCCATTGAAGTCGATGGGAGTTGTACCACAGTGCTCAGTAGCACTGGGAGTTTAAGCAGTGTTCTCATTGCTCACATGGAGAGCTGCTGTGCAATTAGGTGATCGTGTTATAATTTTGAGTAAATAATAGAAATACATACATTGTTTTGCAGTAAGCTCTGCTGGAGATCACTGGTGGTGTGATCAGTGGGAAAGGCTCATCTCAAGTCATTGGATCTTTTAAAAAGGTTGGCTATAGACAAGATATGTGCTCAATTGTTTGTCGCAGCCCAAAAGCTTTGCATGAGTGCTGGCCTGTGAGTTGATAGCTGGAGTGGCATCGTGGCAGGGCCAGGTTGCTTTGTGGAGTGGGTAAATGTTTCTGCTGGAAACCTGTGAGCTCCTGAGTTGGGAATTCAGGGACTCCTTTTGAAGGTTGTAGTGAGATGCAAGATATGGTGGGAAAGGCATGTAGAAAGATTGAGAAGTAGTTCTGATTCCATGAGGATACACACAAAACATCTTTACAGTCTAGCCTGGCACTTTTAAACCACTGCTGTTACATCACTTGTAAACTAAGCAAGATCAGAACATGCCACGCTCTGCAACTATGCTTTTCATTTATTTTCCCTTCCCAAACACCATTAAAGTAAACAGGAGCAATGAAGATGTCCACTGAGCTGCACCGGAGTCTAATCTTGAATGCCTGAGAGCAGAAAACTTGTTCCTCTGGCCGGTTAAGGGCTGTGTTTG